AACCCCCCCACCACCCATCACCACGCACTTCACCACCTCAAGCCAATGTATTTTTTTCCCCTACCCCTCCCAGTCTGCATGCAGGCTATGTCAGAGCCATGGTCGGTCACCTGAAGTTCAGGGTTTTCCCCCCCTTCCCTTTGCAGCCATTCATTGCAGACAGACTACGATCAATAACGCGGTTAGAAAAGGGGGAAACGACAGTTGTGCTCTTCCACTAACATGGCTTTTAAAAATAACACTGCGCCGCAGCAGAGGAGAGCTGTTGTAATTCCCGTGGAGTTGATTTTTTTTTTTTTGGTAGGAGGTTGGTTTACTTTTGTACATTTGACCCTCCGTATCTTTGGATGTTCGTATTGTGCTTTTTATCAGTCCAGATAATGAAAAAAAGCTGCGATAACACACTCCGGCCGCTAGAGGATTGGCTCAGATGGTAGTGGGCACTGACAACCATTATTAGGAGGAATTATCCAAGAGTGACATTTTTAAAAAAAAANNNTTTGTTGTTGTTGTTGTTGCTCTTAATCATTTCTGTTCAATACATGCGTAAGCAAACAGCTCGGTTAGTCATATTGGTATGCAAATGTAATGAATAATTGAGTGATTCATCTTTAAATCAACGACGGCCTGGTACATTTATCTTATGACACTATCTTCTTCTTTTCTTAAATGTCAGACCATGCCAGCTGTTCAGCATAACCAGCCACATCACTTTAAGTTGTCTCTCTCTCTCTCTTTTTTTTTTTTACCCAGTTTACTGACACATAGTTTTTCTTTTAATTTCACAAGGGGTTCGAGGAATGAATGAGCCCCTGCACCTGTCACAGTTTAATATTTCTGACACATTAAGATCGAGTGTACATGAGAGTAATTCCAGTAGCTTAACTCGATATACACACACTGTTTTTTTTGTTTTTAGTGGTAATATTCACTAATCTGCTGCTCAGTTGTTTGACCTAGGGTTGAACTTGGGAAACTGCAGCGGTTGGCTGAGAGGTGGAGACTGGGTGACAGTGGTGAGTGACTGTATCTGTGTGTGTGTGTGACTGAGTGACAGGGGGGGTTATTTGAACAGTGAGCCCTCCCTGATATGCTGCATAAGGAGTATGTAAACCACATGGTTGGGCTGCACAGAACAGGGGTCAGGATGTATAACCGAACATAACCCGCTGCAGCCTTTTTATTTTACTAACAAATCAGGCAAACCTGTGTCTTATGACCTGAATTAAGTGTACGCTGTAATTACGTAGTACTACGCAGTAGTTTGAACCTGAAACAGGTTGCCCTTTTCTTGAATCTCCCTTCTTCGTTACTGGCATTCTTCTAGTTAATTTAATAACATCTTTACTTTGTTTTCTAGGGTGTTTGCACACTTATGGTGAGATTAAGCGTATAGTATGGAGTGCAGCATGGGCCATTGGTACTTTTTTGATAAGTTGTACATTTTTCTTTTTCCAAATAGGAAAAAGTGTCTTGTCTCGGTTAATTGGGGTGACTCATTGTGTAGGATTTTATGACATGTCACCCCGTTAACAGGGACCCATCCAGTATATTTATAGTTTTTCGAATATTTTTGTGATGTGAGTCAGGAGTCTCAAAATGTACCAAAACTGAAAAGGATTTTATGTTTTTTGTGTAGAAGATAGCCCTGCTTGATGATTAGAATATTTAAGGACGTGCTTTGTTGGTTTCAAATGTAAAATAATCATGATAATGATTATTAAAAATCATTGTAACATCTTAGGAAAAATGGTGGACAAACTAATTGTAAGATCCAACAGTTAAAATGCACAAAGTTGTGTTTACTAAAGCTTCCTGATTTTAAACAACTTGTGTTTCAGTTTGTGTGAAACTTGTATTTCACACAGCGTCCTCACTATATTCTCTGGATCAGTCAAACACGAAGTCTGATATCTTTTTTCGGCCTTGAAGTTACTCCATGTCAACCTTTTCAATTAAGCTGCTTTGTAATTGGTCTGCAACAAAAACACTCGTCATCCACATATCTGAAATCACATAGTCCTGTGTAGGCGCACTGTACTGGAGCACTGCTGTGCCTGTGTTCCTGGGTTTAAATGAAAGCCTTTTTCTGATTTAGGAGTTGTTTCCCTCCTCAGTCAACAAACTGTCACAGAAAAGTATGAATTTGTCAGAAGCTTTTTGCGCTTTGTTTTGGATCTTCCCACTCTAGAATGGAAGTGTCACCTCATGCCATTCGCTGTCAGTCTGTGTGTTTTCATTATTCAGCCAACAACACCCTGGTGGTGTGCCAGCCAACGAGCACAATATCGAGCTTCAAATCTCTTCATCTGTGGTGAAAAAGGGCAAGCTAATACACTGGCTTTAATGCTGGAGGTGCTTTATCTTAGCACAGACCCAGATATATGGGTTGTGCAGCCCAGTATGCGCTGTCCTATTGTCTGTGGCACAGCTTGTGAGAGGAGACTATTCTTTTAAGTGTGTGCGCACGGCACGCACATGTGAAAGTGAACACGTAACCCTTGTGTGTTTGTGTCCGTGCGTGTGTGTCTGTGGGTACATAAGCCGGCTATGGAGGTCACAGTACAGTATGGCGCCTTCACTCTGACAAGTAAACATGACCTTTGGTGCCACAATGAAAACTGCCATTCTTTATGACCTTGCAACGTGTTATTGTTTGTGTAATTTTGCAGCCTTATTACTCGCTCTTAAAAGTTCGGCATAGAGAAAATGCTTATACGGTCTAATATTTTGTGCATCTGGCTTTGCTGTTTAAAAACAGACACATTGGGTTAGTGAGAATAGGGCTAAATGTTCAGTGTGGTTTGGCATATTCTGTGCGTATTATAGCTCATGTTGTCATTTGATTGAACAAGTCCCCTTAACATTTTGTAAGCAGTCGTCATCCTTGTTCTCAAAGCCTTTAAAGGCAAGTGCTAAAAATGCAGACTGACTGAGAGTCCATATCATAAAGAGCACAACCTTAAGTCTAACGGGAGGAACACTTGTATTCTGGCCCCTTCTCCCCCTATTTATCTGCATTTGAAATTGAGAGATCTTTAACATTTCTAGACATATTTCTGCTCCTCTTCATCAGCCAATAGCTGACTGACTGGGTGGCTTTCTACCTTACTGTAATGGCGGGTCACTGGCTCCCTTCCACTTGCTATGATTATAATGACCTTGGTGGGGCTGGGGCTTGAAAACATTGGTTTAAGGGGAAAGGAAAATGAGAGGAGGTTTCCATTTCGCTCTTGGCATAAAATTTGTGGGGAATTTCTGCCAAGAATCCCCCCACCTCACGCCACCGCCACGCCCCCCTCCCCC